TAAAAATAATAATCTACGCTTCGGGACCTAAAGAACTTAAGACACACTAGGATGGGTTAAAATATGTAACTAAAATGATAAAAAAGAAATAACAAGGGTTCTTAAAGATGTGAATAGACTGGAATCCTCAAGTACTGCCTGTGGGAATGTAAAATGATGCAGCCACTTCAGAAAACATAGTGGAAGTTTCTCGGAATGCCAAACATAGAGCTACCCTATGATCCTGCATTTCCACTCCTATGAATATACCCAAGAGACATAAAAGTACATGTCCACAGATGCTCATAGGAGCTTTATTCAAGATAGCACAAAGTAGAAATAACAAATATCAACTGACGAGTGGAGAAATAAAATATGGAATTGCGACACAAGGGAATATTATTTGGAAATAAAATGGAATGAAGAACAAATGAAGTACATAAAGTTTATCCATGTGGATAAACCTTGAAAACAATATGTCAAATGAAAGAAGGCATCACAAAAGTCACACATTATAGGATTCTATGTTTATGAAATGCCCAAGGACAGGCAGATCCACTAATCTGTGATTACCAGGAGCTTGGGCAGAAGAAGGGAATAGTAGAATGAGTAGTGACCACTAAGGGGAGCATGGTTTTGTTTTGGGGGTGATGAAAATGTTCTAAGCTTAGTAGTAATGGTTGTACAGCTATGGAATATAATCAATAGTTAAATTTTATGATGTGTAAACGCTACCTCAAAAAAACTATTATAAAAATGAAACTAACAAAGCACATAAGGGCAGCTACATACTTGCAGAGTGAACTGGCTGCACTCTGCCAGGGAATGCCAGGAGTGCCCAGGTACCTCCAGACAGGACAGGCAGTGTGAGCTTAGGCACAGACGACAAAGCATACTGGGATCACGGGTGGTCTCCACTCTCCATTCCACACATCTGCTCTCCCCTTCTAAAGGGAGTTATTTAGCATAAAAAATAGAACATTACAAGTAAGAAGAAAAGAATTTAAAATATTAAGAAAAATTAGAACATAAGAGTAGAACATAATAAAATTAGAACATAAGAGTAATTAGAACATAAAAATAAGAACATAAGTGGTTTCCACTTTCCATCCCACAACATCTGCTCTCTCTTTCTAAAGGGACTTATTTAGCATAAATAAAAATTAGAACATATGAGTAAGGAATAGAAAGGTTATAAGCTCTAGAGATGAAAACCTCTATTTGAAAGCTGGGGTGCCAAACCCTGGTCCCATAAGATAGCAGCCTGGGACCAGTAATTTGGCCTCTCTGGGCTTTCGTTTCTTCCTTCATAAAGTGGGTATAACCACAGGACTTTCTCTCACATGGTTGTGCTGAGAGGACATGCAGGGTGCTCAGAACAGTGTCTGATATGCACAAAGAGCCATCATCCTGATTATTGTCTGACTGTTGTGGTCTCTTTAGGATAGTCTGACTCCTCGCAGTCAAAGGTGAGCAGCACCATCACAGAGGGTCATGTTCAGGTTCCCCAGGAAACTCCAGTCGAACCCTGTCCTCTTCACCCAGGAGCGTGGGCTTATCTCCTATGAGGCCCCTTAAATAACACAATTGTACACACAGCCTGGCGAGCAGCACGGGATATTCACAGGCACACTGAATTCACACTGAACACAACAGCTACCACCAAAGCACCTGTAGAATCACGAACATTCCCAGGAATCTTACATATGACACCTCACTGAATTTTCACAACATGCCTATGAGTTGGATACTATTAATCCATCAAACTACAGACAAGAAAAGTTGAAGTACATTGAGTAACTCCATCAAGTTAATCTCATGGTTAAGTAAAAGTCAAAGCTAGGAGTCCAACCCAGATCTGTCCAATCCAGGGGCACTTCCCAGTCCATTTTGTTGAATTGGATTTCCAAAAGAAGAGTAATTAAGATAGGAATTAAGAAAAAGGGAAAGTGGTTTATTACCAACACACAGTTTATCTATGTTCGAATAATTGTCCAAATGCCAAAGTACATTTGATTCATCCACTTCTTTACTCACACATCCCTTCATTCATTATCCAAATATTAAACAGTCTTTGATGAATATTGATTTTAGAAAATTACAGAATGATTCCCAAGTGTTTTTTTTTTTTTTGAGGCTATTATGAATGGCATAGTTTTCCTAATTTTTCTTGCAGTGGATTCATCACTGATGTAGAGAAATGCATTTTTATGGGTACTAATTTTATATCCTGTTACTTTGCTGAATTCATTTACTAACTAGCTCTAGAAGTTTTCAGATGGAGTTTTTTGGATCTTCTAAATAGAGAATCATGTCATCAACAAAGAGTGATAGTTTGGATTTCTTTTCCTATTTGTATTCCTTTAATTTCTTCCGTCTGTCTGATTGCTCTGGCTAGATTTTCAAAGACTATGTTGAAAATAAGTAGTGAAAGAGGGCATCTCTGTCTTCTTCCAGTTTTTAGGGGGAATGCTTTCAATTTTTCTCCATAAGTAGATGCTAATCCATAATGGAGTGGGGAGAGAATGAAAGTACTCTAGATAGTGCAGAGGGGAGTAAGGGAGGGGAAAGGAGGAGACGTGGAGATGGGAAGGACGGTGGAATGAGACGGACATTTTAACCCTATATTTATGTATGATTACACTACCAGTGTGACTTTGCACCATGTTCAGCCAGAGGAAGGAGAAGTTGTGCTCCATTTGTATATAATGTTCCAAAATGCATTCTACTGTCATGTATAACTAATTAGAACAAATTCTTTAAAAAAAGAGAAACAGTAAAGAAAGAAAGAAAATTACAGAATGATGTGTTCAACACATTGAGGAATAGAGCATTATGCTGGGCAAAAAGGACTTCAGAAAGCTCCAAATGCTTTCTCAACTATCAAAGAAAGCCTCATTTACTACACCTCAACCTCCTTACATAAGAATTCAGAGAACAAACTGATGCTCACCTTCGAAGCCCTATTTCCCTAGGAACTAATAATTGGAATTTTAAGCTATCACCTGGCTCTTCTTTAAGTTCCCAAGATGCCCAACCCTTAGGTAGCCTTCTCCTTTCTAGCTCATGAAGCAAGACAAGTGTTTTCCCAACCTTGGGACTGCCCAACAGAGGGTGAGGGGGATGGTCAGCAGAGGGTCTGTGGCAGGATCTGCAGAAATGGGCTGCAGGAGCAGGACTGAGTGTGCCAGGCCTCAAGCAGACCACAAGCCCAAGATATTGATGGCCACTGCAAGGCAGATCTAAGTCCGGCACACTGCATGCTAAGTAGAAAAAAAATCTGTAAGGCACCATTTCACAGGGTAGAGAGTGCCACTTGTAAAACTGTGTCTTAATTTAGCCCTAAAATCCTACAGGAATTTCTGATTTTCCCACACCGCAGAGATAACTATTAAGGTTCTGGTTCTTTCAGAGGTGCCAGATACCTTTCAACTCTTTTTCTTCCAATAAAGAACAATGCAGTTACCATGAAGAAAAAGAATAAGAAAAAGATACATGAACTATTTCTTTGGAAGGATCAGCTAACTGCTTAAGAGAATTTAGAAAAGCAAAGCTGAGATGGTATATAAGGATGATAAGACATTCACTTTTGGAGCTAAAGTTTCTTCAAATGATATTTTAAGGTAACATATTAATCCAATTTGTTCACATACTAAACTGATGACAAATTATCCATTGGATTCTACAGCGTGTATCTTATGAATAATAAGAAAATTTTCAGTCAATTACACATCAAGGTAAAATTTAATGTGCTGTTAAAATTGAGCTTTACCTAGAAAGGCAATAATGTTTAAATGAAAGCTAATGACAAAATGTGATTGAATTTACAAGGCAATTATCATATCCAAAGTTATTTCCAAAGTATTTACCATAAAAGTAAACAATAAAAAAACACAAATTATTAAGATCATAAGCAATATGATTAACATTAAATTTAAAATATTAATAATAAGGTAGTATGGAAGAAAATATATCTATAATTCCTGAATATAATTATTATTTTCACTTGTTAGAAGAATAAAGGACATTGCCCATTTGTGCTATTGATAGGCATGTACCTCTAAACCTTGGCCAAAATGTGTGTACTGATTATATAGTATAAAATGAATTAATATTGTTTTCAAATTAGGATATAATAAATAAAATTTCTTTTATATCAAAATGTACATCAAACAAATACATATTTTAATATAATACATATTAAAATTAGTTGACTTCAATCTTTTTGTCATTATGAAAATAAACTGTGTACAGGTAGAAAATTGTTTTTGAACTGTCATATGCTGTTCATATGATTTAATTCATAAAGATTTAATGAATTCCACAGATGCTTTCAGTTCTCTGTATAAAAAAGATGAAAAGATTTCATTTTATGAAAATTTCATTTTGAAAATGTGTATATTTAAAATGTCATCAATATGGACAGTATAGAAATCTATTAATCAAATCTTTAATTCAAAAATATAACTTCTTCTTTTAGCTAGGATGATTAAAGTGTTTTTAAATTGTATTTAATTTCACAAAGAAAAGCAGAAAAGAAAGATAATTATTTCAAGGTGTTTCATAACAATTTCAAGAAAAATCAAGTAATGCCAACAAAATGATTAAAAAAAAAAAAAAAGAACACCTGACAGTGAAAATCTAAACAGCAAATCCAAACAGAAATGTACTAGAATTCCTTTCCAAGTCAGTGAAGTCTTATCTATAGATTTCCCACTTTACATACAGACAAGCTAGACATTTTTCCAATCAAAGACATGTGAATGGATAGGAAGCTATACACAGGTTTATTTTCCTCCTGCACTAAAAAATCAGAGCCTCTGCAGGTATCCTCCTGCAGGTTACACTGCCTCCTGTGTTAGTCCCAGTCACATCCTGGCCACAGTCAATCTTCCATATCAGATCCAGAAGGTTTTTCTCCCCAGAAAACTATCATGCAGGAGAATTAAAAACTGAGGAAGGGGAAAACAGAAAGCACATGAAAAAAGGACCAAAATAACATAATAATTTAAAATGTGCACCTTTACTCTTTGGTCATCAACTTCTATAATTGTTGCAACACGAATTAACCGGGGGTTTCGTTTATCCACAACTTCTAGTTTCATATTTGGCAAAAAACCATGAGGCAACCTCTGAAAAAAATACAAGTGTAACAAGTTGTGGAAAATTCAGCAATTCAGATTTTCTATTAATTTTGAATACAATACTTCAGTTTTAACAAGCATATTTTTAATACAACTGGCATTTAGTTTACAGAACACATAGGATTTTATGCATATTTTTTAACCAGAGTCACAAAGCCTGTGAGAGAATTTGGGGCCACTTTAAAGATAGCTAAAAGACAAAGACAGAATAAATTATAAATTCATTAATTTTCACAACAAAGTTCAAAACGATTTTTTAAATTAGTGCATTATAATTACACATAATATTGGTGTTCATTCTGACGTAATTATGCAAACATGGAATATAATTCTCACCGATTTACTTCCCAGTACTATCCTAACCCTCTCCTCCTCACATTCCCTGTTCCCTTTCCTCTATTCTACTGGTCTTCTTTCTATTTATTTGTAATATTTTTTAAATTAGTGCTTTATAGATATACATGAGGTGAAATTCACTGTAGTATTTTCACATATGTACATAGGATCATTTGGTCGATATCATTGCGCTGTTTCTCCCATTTCCTATCCCTCCTCCCTTTCCTCAAGCCCCTTCTAGATACTCTACTGATCTCTCCTCAGTTTTCATGTGATTCACAACTCTCCACCACCAGGTTTTTTTTCCCCCTCTTATTTTGGTCTAACATCTGCATAGGAAAGAAAAATTTGACTCTTGACCCTCTGAGTCTGGCTTATTTCACTTAGCATGATGTTCTCCTGGTCCATACATCTACCAACAAATGCCATAATTTCATTCTTCTTAATGGCTGAGTAAAACTCCATATGTATATATACCACACTTATTTTTTCATCTAGTGACAGGCACCTGAGCTGGTTCCATAACTTGGCTATTGTAAACTGTGCTGCTATAAACACTGATGTACCTGTATCACTATAGTGACTTTAGTTCCTTTGGATAAAACTGAGGTGTGGGATAGCTGGGTCATATAGTGGTTCCATTCTTAGACTTTGAAGGAATCTCCATATTGCTTTCCAAAGTGGTTATACTAATTTGCAGTTCCACCAAAAATGGATGAGTGTACCTTTTTCCGCACATCCTCACTACCATTTATTATTTGTATTTTTGAAAAATGATGCAATTCTGACTGGACTGGTATGAAATCTCAATATAGTTTTGATCTGAATTTCCCTGATTGCCAAGGATGTTGAACATTTCTTTCACATAATTTGTGGTCATTTGTATTTCTTCTTTCTGAATTGTCTGTTGAGTTATGTTTTCCCATTATTGGGGATCTTTTTTAAATTGATTTTTTAAAAATAAATGACAGTATAATGCATTACAATTCTTATTACACATATACAACACAATTTTTCTTATCTCTGGTTGTATATAAAGTATATTCACACCAACTCATGTCTTCATACATGTACTTTGGATAATAACGATCATCACATTCCACCATCATTTCTAACCCCATGCCCCCTCCCTTCCCCTCCTACCCCTCTGCCCTATCTAGAGTTCGTCTAATCCTCCCATGCTCCCCCTCCCTATCCCACTATAAATCAGCCTCCTTATATCAGAGAAAACATTCGGCATTTATTTTTTGGGGGGATTGGCTCACTTCATTTAGCATTATCTTCTTATTTCCGCTTACATATCAGCTTATTTTCATCTTCTTTTCTGAAATTAGCCTTACACATAGATATTGCTGACTATTCTCCCTACCAAGTTTGGGACTATATGGCTAGAAGGTAAAATTATTTAATAAGCAATACAAAAAAACCATGATTCTTCATAAATCTAAATTTTAAAATATGCTTAGTTAAAAGCATATTTAATTTCAACTGTTAAATCTTTTAAATATACCATGATATAATTTTAAGCCATATCTATGTTTTTTGTCACTTCATATCATAACACTACAGAGTTGAACTTAGTTGAAGTTTCTTTCAAGTCTTTAAAATGCTAGAAACCAAGAGTTCATGGTGACAGACACACAGGCAATAAAGAAAACAGAAGGGGAAACGTACTGGGACATGCCAAATCATTCAAACTAAGGAATTTCAACAATCAAAATCAGAGTCACATTGGGCACAGTGGCACATGCTTGTAATCTCAGCAGCTCTGGAAGCTGAGGCAAGAGGATTCCAAGTTCACGGCCAGACCCTGCAACTTTGTAAGGCTGTAAGCAATTTAGTGAAACCCTGTCTCACAATTAAAAAAAAAAAATTAAAAGGGCTCAGTATGTGCCTCAGTGGTCAAGCACACCTAGGTTAAATCCTCTCCCTGACCCTGCAACAGAAATCAAAGTCACAAAACAAATCTGACAGTTTTGAGACATTAGTAGAAAGTTTTTCTTTGAATGCTATTACACATAAAAGTGTTCAATTGATTTTATTGGAAATGAAAGTGTACTGAACTCCTCAAATCTAGAATTGGCAATAAGAAAAAAACTTCTACTGATACATGATTAATAAATAGTTAAATTTTTCTCCAGTATCTGGTATGTTTTCAGCTTTTTCAGAAGCATATTTTCTTCCTAGAATGCATTATTACATCAATTAAATGGAATATACTGAGTATTATCAGGTCTCTGAAATTTTTTCTTGCCAAGGTCACTGTTCTGAACAACAAAGGTAATTAATTGTTTAGTATTACAGATGCCAAAGAGACATTCTTGAGCAGAATCCACAACAACCTTGTGAAAGACAGAGTCTGAAATTCGTCTTTTTAGTGAAATTTTTCCTTGTTTTCTTATACTTCTCCTGTTCAAGAAGTAAAACAAAGATTTGAAAGAAGACAAGACAGAAACTACCAGTACTTAGGTATTTTTGCTCTTTGAAATTCTGCAATTCATAAAACCTCTGTAGGACTTTAGCTATGGTTTCCCTAATCTTATTATACTTCACCATCAAATCTAGACTATTACGACCAATTTTTTTTAGATGAAAAAGCATTTTTGTTTTAACGCCTTTTAATACCTAGAAAACTCTAGGAAATGAAATCACATGAATAAACCCTACACATAAAATTCTGATTTAAGACAAGTTGAGGAGCCTGAAGCCCACAATTAGAATCAGAAAGGAACAATTTGAAAATCACTGATTTGGAACATAAATATTTCTGATTATACTATTTCTATCTATGTGTTTTCTTTTAAAAATTTATCTATACTTAGTTCAACCCTGGAAAAGTACCTTAAAATAAGTTTGAACTGTAAAAATCAGTATTCTAAAAAAATGCTAAAAGGAATGTTCCTCTCAAAAGTGGATAAAACTATGCACAAAGATGATGGTTCACCTACTTGATTATGGCCATTGCTATTCAAACAGTCCCTGAGAAAGGGACATGCAAGCTCATGGCACTGGGAGCTTCCACACCTCCACCCCTGCTGAGGTGCTGTCAGCAGTGCCACTGATGTGCTGCACTGTGCTTTTTCCAAAAAGAAAATCATCACCTGCATTGGTATATAGGAATGATAGCAAATGACCCTGCTTGTTTACTTTACTTACTTTGTATTCTTAACTTTAAGAAAAGCAAAACAAATTGGTTATTAAAAACACAACTTGAATTTATAAAGAAAAATCTAGAATAATTTTAAAATCCTACACAAAGGAGGACTCAACAGGATTTTGTTTAAAGGTAAGAGTATATACCTATATAGAACTTACCATTTTAAAAACTTTGGCAGGAACTGCATTAGTTTGGGTAGTCTGCAGATATTCTGGCCAGGAAAAATTTTCTGGGTCAGGATATCCTAAAAACATAAATAAATAAACAAACAAACAAACAAACAAACATACAAAGATTACTCACAGATTCCCATTTTCTATAAAACATTTGGTAATGATAACACTGTTATCTGAAGGCCCATTATTTAACAGGCCCCATGCTAAGAACCTCACTTAAGTCTTATGCTCCCCTCTGAGAGAGCCAAAGCATTAATGCATGCAAGCAATCATTCACTGGTTCATTCACTCACTCCACAAGATCAATTGGTTTGGCCAATGTCAAATGGTTAGGCAAGCACTTGGTAGAAGCAGGTTACACCCAGGACTCTGGCTCCTGGATCCAACAAAAGGTTCCTAAGAAGTTTGAAAATTCAAGCCACCTGAACTCAAACCATTCAGTTGGAAAAACTAATAATCTTTCCTTTCTGTCTATGCTGCATTGTTACCTTTGTCCTTTCAAGGAGTAAGTACTTATACTTATTCATCAGCTCTGATTTCCTTTGTCTATTCTAATTATTTTTTTTTTTTTTGCTGCTTTTACTCTTATCACTACATTCCTCCTGCTTTCCTTAGGATTGTTTTATTCTCTTTTAATCAAACTGAATTATAATCAACTTATTTTCATGTTTTTCATATAATAAAATAGTTTAAGACTATGAGCTTGTCATTGTTTCCACTCAATAGCACCAAGCATCTGGGCATACGTCTATGCATAATGCATTTGTTTTTCTCTCTTTTACTTTATAAAAAGATTATATTCTGTCTTTGTAGTATTAATTGAATCACTGGTCGAATAGTTATTTAAGATGTATTCCACATGGTTAATTGTTGCAGTGGTTTAAAATTAATAATATCGAATTTATTACACAAGATGTACACAACTCCTGCTTTGGGAATGTGAGGATTTTTTCTTGGTGTAACACTAGATCAACAAAAATTTATCTTGTATGTATGTGTATGTGTGTCCATCGTAAGGTTTAGTATCAACATGCATAATTATGACTTAGTTACATTATGAAAAATGCTTTTTATAACTAAGCCTAAAGGCTGAAGCAGTATGCTAAAGTCTTTAAGCATTTTCTAGTAGTTACCCAGCATTTCTGATAATGTTTCCCTCTTCTTACTTTTAATATTTTTCTAGTACTGGGGATTGAACTCAGGGATGCTTTACCACTGAGCTATGTTCCCAACACTTTTTAATATTTGTTTTGATACAGAGTCTTACTACTTATTAAACTTTTTCTAAAATAAAGTATATTTAAAGAAAAGTACACAAATCAAGGGGATAGCCTATATAACCTGAGCCAGATCAAAACCTAAACTTCACCACAGCCCCACCAACTCATCCCGATCCCCATCATATTCCCTTTTAATCAAAACTACAGCCTTCTCCAGAGAAACTCCACCCTGGCTTCCAGCCAGGAGACTGTTTTTGCTGGTTCTGTTTTACCTTTATAAAAATGGAATCACACAGTAAGGGCTCATTCATGGAGAACCTCTTTAGTTCAACATTCTGATTGTGAGGGTCATGCAAAACATGATTACTGAATGCAAACATTAATTTTCATTGTTGTTCAATATTCCATCATGTGAGTATTTTACAATTTACTTTCTATCCATTATATTTACCACAGTCCTTTAGACAGTTTCTATTTGGGGATTACATGGAATGTATGCTGTGAACATTCAAGTACATTCTTTTTAGTGACCATTCCACTGGAATGTATCCAGAAGTAAAACTGCTAGATCATGGAACGTTTTGCTTCATCATTTTTTACTTTTAAATTATTTTGGCTTACGTGTGTCTATTTTCAACACCCTCTAAATACAATTTTAAAATAATATGCATTTGCTTTGATAAACAGTTTTTCTTCTCTTTCATAAATACATCTCAAGCTGGATTTTTTTTTAAAGCTCTCTTGGGATTTCCTTTGCTTTCTGCACTTTCTTATATGAACTATGCTATATATCTTTGGTTTCAATAGTTATTTTCACAATTGCATTTAATTTTATAGCACACACTTAAAAAAAGCCATTTCTTGTATTTTGGATCTCTACCTTTCTACAAGGCTTTTGAACTACCCTCACCCCTCACCCCATCAGCAGTGGTTTTCCTCACCTAGGTGCCTGGCTAGAGGATTCAGTGAGATGGAAGGACAACAAAACAAAACATAACGTAGAGAACTGCAGAAAGGAGGCAAAGCTGATGAGAAAGGCAGCCACACGTTCCTGCCCCGCCTCACAAAGAAACCTGGCATGCTGCCATAAGAAGCACCATTCTTTCCTTCTCTTTTCATGAGGAACATGTGAAAATAAAAGGCTGTGACATTCTAAATGATCCTTAAACAACTTCTTCTGTACTACTTTCCAGAAATAAGTTATGTATATGCAAAAGAAGAACAGGTACCTATATATTCCCTGTCCAATCAACCCAAGCAAGAGCAGAATGACTATGGCCTCAGGACTCTTCCCACTGCCTTCCTCCTGGCCCAGCCCTATCCTGGTAGGCCTTGAGAGGCCAGAGTAGAGGTGCAGAGAAGGGCCAGGTAGATCCCTTCACTGTGTGGAAATACCAGGGTATTAGCTTTTCATAAGTCTAAGTTCCTACTTGAAACAAGAAGAAATATTTGAGACCAGTCCATAGAACAGCATATCCTATAGAACCTTAACTCCTCATAAAAAAGGTCAGTCTTTAACTGGATTTCCTTTATGGGTAAGCACTGTACCAAGCATTTCATTTGCATTAAGTCATTTATTCCTCACATGGACCTGAGTTATACCTTTTCATTCACATTTCATAGGTGAGGCTCAGAAAAGCTGAGAGCATGTCCAGTGTTGTGCAGTTAGGAATGGAAGAAATGGGGTTTGAACAATGGTGTCTGGCTCCATTATGCATGCACTGTACATAGTCCCTGACTCCCTCTGGTACTGAAGACCCAGGTCCATCCTTCTAGGCCTCAGGGTCCAGACCCTGAGGCCACGAAAGTTATATTGGGAGGGTGAGAATATGGGAATATAGGCACAAGGTTGGAAACTGCCCTTCATACTGTTTAGAGGTATTCATTCATTCCACAATGTTTAGAGTTTGAAACTTCAAAGAGATGGATGATCCCTGAAGAAAAATGAGGTCCAACCTATGGTTGAGAACACAGCTTGCTGAATCAAGTCAAGGGAAAACTGTCACAGAAACTGAGATCAAGGACCTATGGGATTAGGACATCAAACGGCAGCCTGGAATTTCTCAATGGTTGGTGCCAGCAATTCTTTTGTGATGGGAAGGCCCAGGTGAAAATTATCTTCAATTAATGTTGGAGAATAACTAGAATGCAACTAGATGGCAGTGAAAGAAGGGGCATGGTGTAGGGGAACAGGACAGCTAGAGCCTTCGAGAGGAAAGGCTTTTCTCAGCAGCCTAGAGCTACTTCAGAATCAGGAAGGTTACATGAGACGTGGCAGCATAAAGCTGCCTGCTTTAAGGGCCACAGGGAAATGGTGGCCTCAAGGATGGGAACGGAGAAAGTGCTATGTGAAGAAGCAGGGATCAGGGGAGACTTTTTCCATCAAGCACTTGGAGTGGAAAGGGTTCCAGGCCTTCTGGAGGACACCAGTATGTACAGGAGCAGAAAGAAAAACTGAAGGGTCGAATGAAGTTAGAGGAAAGCTAAACACGTATTCCAATAGCTTCTTATATCACTCAAGGAAAAAGCAAGTCCTAATAATAACCTACAAGTCTCTATAAAACTCGGCCCCATGGCTGTCTTCACCTCAGCTCCTGTTTGCTCAGCTCCTGCTACAGCTAGAACACAGACAAATCCTCGCTCCTTAAGTGCTACCACTTGTTGTTCTTTTTCCTAGAAACTAGACAGTTCTCCTCAGAGATCTCCAGATGTGCCACCTCATCTTCTTTACGTTGATGCTCAAATGTCAGAGGCTCACCAAGTCCTGAACTCCCCATGTAATATGGAATTCCCTCCCCCAAATACATGTGCCCTTCCTAACCCCACCACTTGCCTTATTTTTCTTCACAGTTCTTATCACTAACATGTCACATTATTTTACTACTTCTTGTTTCCCTTACTCCATTAGAATATAAGCTGACCCATTATAGGAATTTGTCCACATCAATGCAACTTCTTCTCAGAATTCTATAAGTACTTGGTGAATATTTGCTAAATGAATAAAATGGTAATTCCTGAGAAGTTTGCATTTAATATTGTGGTGCTCATGAATGACAGAGAGGTGAGATGAAAAGTCTCACAATTCTGATAGGAACTCTGAAAAAACAGGTGTTTGTCTAATGTTTGTACCATAGGTACCATTAGAACAAGATGATGTCAGTGTATCAATACTGGCTAAGGGTCCACAGCAGCACTGAAGCCGGGATGATACCAAGAGAAGGTCATCTTACTGGTGACATCTGTATAAGACAAATGTGATATTCCTTAATAATTTGTTCCATATGAGAAAGACAAAGATAGGTGTGAGTTTGGCTATTTTTCTCCAAAACTTAACCTTGCCACTGAACATTCTTTCTAAAGAAATGTGATAAACAGCACAAGCCCTGAAGTCCCTGACCTTCTGATCTGGGTGACTATTCCAATGAGAAACATGACAGACCTTGATATGATGGTGGCAAATTCAGGAACCAAAAATCACAGGTGTGCTAGGACAAACAATTTTTAAGTAATGGGCAAAAGTTCCATTTAATGACCAGCAATAAAAAGCAATCAGTTAAAGAGTCTGAGGAGAAAGTTTAGAATAGATAGGATATCAACTGCAAACACACATGCTGGATGCACTTAACAGAATGCTTCATCTAACTCTGTTTTATTGATGAGGAAAGTTAAACCTGGTATTTTAAGTGACATATCCAAGGTAATTCAGCTAGAAGTGAAGTCAAAGCTAGAGCCAATGTCTTCATATATGCAATTTGTAAAAACAGAAGCGTCTAAAGAGCATGCTGCTAGGCCTCAATTCAAAAGAAAGCACCATCAGAGGAATGAGAATTATGTGCCTGATACCAAGT